CCCCCCCCCCCCCCCCCAAAAAAAAAAAAAAAAAAAAAAAAAAAAGATTGGGAGGGCTTTCAGCTCCTCTCTGAAGGGGGCAGGGGCTGCCTGGTGGGAATTTTGGGATAGTCTGAACTAAATTGTAACTTGACTCATGGGCTGAGCTCCCTCTGAAGGAAACGGCAAGCTCAGCTGCACAGAGCCCTTCAGTGGGCTGCTGGACATCTGGCTCCTCTCTGAGCTCCTCAAAATCCTGCTGCTATTAATAGGAGAAACATCAATAAGGACTTCAAAATGCAACCGCTGCAAGGAGAGCTGGCATGAATTCCTGCTCCTAAGTCCCTCCACGCACAACAGGTCACACGTTACCCACTGAAGCGCTGAGAGGGCTTCCTCCCCCTGTGACACCCTCGTCCCTCATTTCGCTGAGGGAAAAGTTCTCCAAGCAAATAATAGATGGACACACATACATACACACTTGTTATACTTTACTTCCATAAAGCACATAAGAGAGTGTAAAATAAAATAGCAATTAAGTTGAATGGCAGTGCTTGGACGGATTTGCTGGGAGGCATTTTCTTCAAAATATTGCACATAACTCCTTACAGAAAATGTTACAAAACCCTGAACTCACAAAATTCAAAGATGAATAAAAGAAGAGAAAAATGCAAGAAACTTTTACTGGAATGGTGTTTGCCATAAAAAGGGGATTACAAAAAAAAATATGGAAAATGCTGAAGCCACCTTGCTTTGAATAAAGAGCACCTTCTTTGAGCTGGTCATCAGCTCAGCTCCAAAAAGCTGCAGAGGTGCCATCAGGAATTATTTCCCCTTGCTGAGAAGATGGTCCACAGCAGCCTGGTCAGGTTTCTTTGAACTCAGCAGGTGCCTTTCCACTCGTGTTGAGAGGAAACTAGCCAGGTCTTACCCATCACCAGGTGGAGGGCAGGGTTTTATTCTCACTCGGACATGGTCCCTGTCACAGCAACCCAGTGGGTCTGAGCCCCTTTATGCATGACGAGGGAGCCTCATGTCTCCACAGCGGGGCAAAGAGAACTGACTCTGAGAGATTCCCTCTTTGTTTGCTTACTTAGCTTTCTTGGTAAGTTGTGTCCAACGCAAGGAGGATGTTTTGCTGTGCTGCTTTCTTATTTTAAGTTACTCCATTGTTTTCAATCAAATACCACTTCCTCTTCTCCCCCCCACCATCCTTCTCTTGGAAAAATAAGGAACGGTAGTTTCTGGGATCACCATCCACGTGCACATCCACGCTCAGCGCCAAACACGACAAGGTCACGTACTCACGTGAGTGAGGCACCTCAGAACACAACCCTTGACACTAGCTCACTAGAAAGGACAAACGGTCCAAATGTTTAGAAAGGACAATGAGGAAGCGGAGGTCATTGAGTATTTCACTTCTGAAAAAGGGCTCTCAGCCCTGGCTTTTCTCCCTTTGAAACCTATTGCTTCTGAACAGCACTGAAAAGAGTGATCTGGCACTCTTGAGAGGCAAATTACTGTGCCTAAATCCTCACCAAAGATTTGAAGACCTTGAAAAGTTAAACAATGATAATTATAGTAATATTATTATTATTATTATAGTAATATTATTATAGTAATAATAATATAGTAATTATAGTAATAATAATAATAATATTAATAATAAATCCTCCCTTTGGTCGAAGAGACTGTAGTTAAATATAGGGTCCTTTTGTGCCAGGTGCTTGTGAGGGAGAAGTGCTGAGCCAGAGAGCTCCTCAGCTCCTCTTGTGCCAGGTGCTTGTGAGGGAGAAGTGCTGAGCCAGAGAGCTCCTCAGCTCCATGGCCAGGGTGCAGAGCAAGGAGCAGGGCTCCCGGGGGAAGGCAGCACCGGGGACAGCCCCGGCAGCAGCGGCAGGG